TGTTCCTGATACATACTCAGAGGCAGGGGCAGACTGACCATTTGGGAACTTGGGCACTGCCCGAGGGTCCGGGGTCAGTAGGGGGCCCCATACGATACCCCTGGTACTTTTCATAGGCTTTTTTGGGTGTGGTTTGAGTGTGGGCGAGGGCACAGGGGCCCTATGCTCCCCTATTGCCCGGGGGCCCCATGAGTTGTCAGTCCACCTCTGCTCAGAGGTCTTCAGTAATAAACACTGGGCTGTAGGTTTTTGTTTCTCTTAGGGCTCATGTACACGGGGCGTTGGGAAAACTCTTCTGAAAGATGGAAACTGACTGCTGGAAAACGTAGGTTAAAAAATGTCAGTTTAGCCGCGTTTTATGCGCGTTTGCGTTTAGAAGCGTTTTTAAAAGATAACCTCAGGAGACCTTCCCAAATGCCCAGAATGCACTGAAATATAGTAAATAATTAACTATTTCAGACATTTTGAGAGGAATAGAGAGTATAAGCAGAGAGAGCAGTATGTGTTGAGATGACCTGTCTTTTCTGGTTGTATTCACTATGGATCCCATCATGAGCATAATGCAGCACATTCTACCATTTTTTCCTTCACGCGAAACCTGGAACTGACTGCACTGGTGTACTGGGTCCATTTGAATACATAGAAAACGCGTTGCATGCATTTTTGATGAAGAAAAAAGGCTCTGGACAGCATCTGGATATGGAACAGTTAAAAAACGCTTCTAAACGCAATTGCTTATAAACGCAGTTAACTGCGTTTACAAGCATTTACACACGTTTACAAGTGTTTGGCGTTTGAAACACCGGTAAAATCTACTCCTGAAAGCAAGTTTGGTGTGTTCAAAAAAACAACTGTAAACTCAACTGCCTGTAAATGACTGTAGGAAATCATTAGGAAATCATTAAGGAGAGTTCAGGGGCTGCTGAAAAAAAACGCTGAACATCTCCTAAACGTCAGTTTATCAGCTGCAGTGTACATGAGCCCTTAGGGGATAATTTTTTCTGCAGCTGCAGCATTTGTACAACCTCTTCCAGCTGCTGTATTTGGGTTAAAGGGTGGTTGGGAAGGAGCAGTAAAAACGTGGCTCAAGCCCCTATTTTTATTGACCCCTGGCCACAAGTTTAAACAAGCCCTTATGATGGATTTAGATAAAAATTATATTTTTTAATTTATTTATTAGTGAGCTGAGTTAAAGGGGAAGAATGGGGGTGACTGTGTTTGAAGCGGATACTTCCCTTGGTCCACTAATCAGTTTTTTACAGACCCAGCCTGCAGTTTTATGCTCCAACTAACTACAAAGAAACAGTGGGCCTCTCTGCCCTCCTCTACCCAATAAAAGGATTTAAAAATCCAGTGTGCAGTAAGAGAATGTCGCTCATTTCACTGCCCTGTGTCCTGGTTCACCCCTTTGCAGTGCATTTTAGGTGAATGTTACATGCATTACCATTGTATTCTATATAATGTGTATTTTGATGAAAGAAAATGCAAGAATCAGCAAGCAGGAATTATTTTATTGCACGGCATGTAAAATGCACAGGGCACACAGGGTGTGAACAGGGCCTTTTTCTAAAACAAAGAAAAATGTTGCTGTACCTGCTTAAAAAGGTTTGAGGGCCTATTCATACTTTTACATTTTCATGCAGCAAAAAAATGCATTTTGCAGAATTAAAATGCATTCCAAGTCAGAACCTTTTTCTTTTTATGTGGCTATGCACTGATATTATGTGGCTATGCACTATGTGGCTATGCACTGATGTTCTATGCACTTATATTAAGTGTGAAAAGGAAAGGAATGCATTAAAGTAAAAAATGTTTAGGCTTTAGACCCACTTTAGCTCCCAGCTGCCACATTTATGCATCCATAAGGCTCTGAGATTCTGTGCTGACAGTGTGCTCCCTGCGCGCTCCTAGCACACTGACTACTCACTGACAGCTTCCAGCCACAGTTTGGATTGAAAGCCAGAGGGACAGGCTTCCGATCAGTTAACCGCTTTTACAGCCAATCACGCGGATCATGTAATCAGGAAGTCACCTTTGCCTCTTGGCCCTAACACCCACTTATGGGGCCACTGGGAGGTGGCGGCAAGAGGTTAAAAGAAAATAGTAAAGCGCATTGCTTTGTAACAACAGATAACCACCCCTACACATCGCACACAGGCGCACTTGTGTTTTAGTGTGCAGGGGCAGACTGACAACTCATGGGGCCCCCAGGCAATAGGGGATCATGGGGTCCCTGTGTCCTTACCCAAACTCAAAAAAGCCTATGAAAAAGGTACCAGGGGCATCTCATGGGGCCCCCTACTGACCCTGGGCCCTCGGCAGTCCCCGAGTTTCCAAATGGTCAGTCCGCCCCTGGACGTGTGAACAAGCTCCTACTGCTAATGACAGAATGCATCATATATATATTTTTTTTCTCATTGTTCTACTGTAAGTAATCCATCAATTAGCCCAAAATATCAGTCACTTAAATGTCATGCACTGCATTGAGGGAATTAAAGGGGGTCCATGTGTGCCCCAAATCCAGACGTCCAGATGTTTTTATGTATCCAGCAGTGGATCAAGGTGACCAGGGGTGCTGTCAAAGTTAGGGCTGTTGTTAGAAACCACAGGTCCCCATACATCCAACCTGACAGATCCCCCTACCCCCCCCAAAAAAACACAGTTCACTATGCTTCAGTTATGAATTAACACAGTGAGTGATTGCTACTGATTGCTCATTGTGTTCATTTACAAAAGGAAGGGGTTGGTAAATGTGACATATTTACTGTACGTTTCCCCCACTCTCCATCCTGAAGGATCCTGTTGTGTGCTTGCAGCTGCCGGTGGTAGGGAGAGGAGGGAAGCTGACAGCACTGCGGCGCTATGGGGGGGTGGGGACACAATGGAGGCCTGGGCAGCAGGGGGAAATGTATGGTGCAAAGGGAGGGTGATGGGTGCGGTGAGGGGAGGAAATTACTGAAACCGATCCCCTGTACGGCTCTCTCTGCAGCAGCTGAAAACCAGTGGAAGGGAGAGGAGGAGAAGCCAGTTTTCAGCTGTTGCAGAAGGAGCCATACAGAGGAACAGTTTCAGTAATTGCCCCCCTTCCCCCACTGTGCCGATCACGCACCCAGCTGCCTGGGCCCCCTGCCAGCCTTGGCCTCGTACAGGAGGACTAATGGTAACCCTTTATCCACGGCACTGGTCAAAGCAGTAGTATATGCTGTACTCTATGGTGCCTGCTGACCGGCATAACAATTTCTTTGCCTGTTTGCTTTACTTCTATAATATTGATGGGAATTTACTAAAACTGGAGCAGGCAGAATCTGTAGCAACAGTGTCTGGCAACCAGTTAGCTTGTAGGCAGGTGCAGGTTTTCCTCCGTCCAGTAGGTGGCACTGTGCCAGCAGCATCAGAGTGCCGTTTCAGTAACCGAAAAACCGTCTCCCCTCCAGCAGAAGGTGTGGTGTCCTCCGGTAATACAGGCCCAAGCCACTGTACAAATGTCGTCTGCTATATTATCTGAAACCAGTGCCTACAGAAACTGTCTCTAGTTCTTACTGGTAACCTATATACAATATACTGTATAGGATCAACTAAAACTCAAGGACTGTGTGTGTGAAATCTTCCCCCTTATTGAGTATCATTGGGCCAGGGTCCCTCCTAACAGCTTTTAGTTTTCATGTTCAAAGCTTAAATCAGTATTAAATCCAGAAACAAACATTTTATATATTTCAAACTACCAATTATTGGGATGCAATGGCTGCCTTAGTTTTCTTTTTTTTAGACATTAGTTTTTCATTTTTCTCCCATCTGGTGATCTGGCCAGTAACACACTTCCTGTCTTAGAGGGGTTTATTTACTAAAGCTGGAGAGGGCAAAATCAGGTTCACTTCTGCACAGAAACCAACCAGCTTCAAGGTTTTATTGCCAAAGTTTAATTATTTATTTCAGGTACTTATATAGTGCTATCAATTTACGCAGTGCTTTACATATATATTGTACATTTACATCAGTCCCTAACCCTCAAGGGGTGTACAATCTAAGGTCCCTAACTCACATTCATACATACACATACTAGGCACAATTTAGACAGGAGCCAATTAACCTACCAGCATGTCTTTGGAGTGTGGGAGGAAACAGGAGTACCCAGAGGAAACCCACGCAGGCACAGGGAGAACATGCAAACTCCAGGCAGGTGGAGCCATGGCTGGGATTTGAACCAATGACCCTAGTACTGCCAGGCAGAAGTGCTAACCATTTAGCCACTGCGCTGCTCTGAACAAGCTGAAGTTAGAAGCTGATTGGTTTCTATGCAGAAACGAGACAGATATTGCACTCAATAACTTTAGTAAAAATAAACCCCAGAGTGTCTACACACCATGTAGGAGCAATGGAGACACCTTTGGACAGCAGCATTGTCAATGTGGGGAGAGGGTATTATTAAATTAGCAGATTTACAGTAGATGGACTTGACTAATAAATCAAAGCTGAGCTCCAAGTAACACTTTATAATCAGTTACAGAAACCATTTTTTCTTTCCTTTTGAGACAAAGGTTTTACATACATGAAAGCTGACCATTGTAAGTGTTAAATGGTTTGTCTCAACCTTCTAACTGCCACTGTTGTTGGACAGCTTGGTCTGTTAAAGGAAGTTGAAAATTAACAGACTTACTGGTTGAATCACAAGGAGAAAATAAAGGAGAGAAAAAGAATATAGCCACCACATCTAATAATACAATGTGGTTTTTGGGTTTAATACCCCCCTTCAATTGAACAAACTGAAGCTAAAGGCGATCGCTTGCCATGCACAGCTGCTTCAGAATCTGCTCCAATTTTAGTAAATCTCCCCTCTTCTTCATCCTTAAAAGGTAAACTGTAGAGATGTATTCACCTGAAGCACATTCCAACCTTAGTCCCTTCAATGTACTATTCTATGAAATCTTACCGAGAACACGGGGAGGCTATGCAGCACATGAAACTAAAACAATTGCAAGAGCTCTGTGGAAGCAAACACCCACCTGGCTCATACTTGAGGTACAGGATGGAGATGATATAATAAGCCACCACATCAAAGAGAGGGAAGACGGGCAGTTTGGAGAAGGATACAGCCAGATCCTCCAGGCTGAGAGATGACAGCAGCTCCATGGTGCTCCAGTACGTCCCAAGCTGGCCCTGCTGATGAAGTGACAGCACGCTGCACAGGGATCTGAGCTGGATGACAAGCAGACTGTATGGGTGTCCCCTTCCCCACGCCCACCTCTACTACTGCAAAAATAAAACCTCTGCTGTGATCACTATATTTAGCTGACTGAGTGGAGCAGGCCCCTCCTCTTCTGCTGCTTGGGAGGACAGGAAAATAGAATACAATTATAACTACGAGCTGGACTTCCTCGTCATCCAAGTAAAACCCTCCTTTAAGTGACCTCAAGACCTGTCCTCTCTACTCTTTTTCTCAAATGGTAACATTGGATTAGTATCCACACTTTGGCTCACCATACACGTTACAATCTGACCATACAATCAAACTTAGATCGACCAAAACTACATAACAATATTATTTTTTTAAATATATTTATAAACGATATAGGGTCTGAGATTAAAAATCCCATTTCAGTCTTTGCAGATGACACCAAGCTGTGCAGTGGAATAACGTCCTTACAGGATGTCTCCAACCAACAAGCTGACCTCAATGCACTGTTTAATTGGGCAACTATGTGGCAAATAAGGTTTAATGTTGATAAATGTAAGGTTATGCACTTGGGGGCTAAGAATATGCATGCATCATACATACTAGGGGGGGTACAACTGTGGGAATCAATGGTGGAGAAGGATCTGGGAGTTCTGGTAGATCACAAGCTTAATAAACGGCATGCAATGCCAAGCTGCGGTTTCTAAAGCGAGCAAAATCCTCTCTTGTAATAAAAGAGGTATAGACTCCAGAGAGAGAGATATCATATCACCCCTGTACAAATCATTAGTAAGACCTCATCTGGAATATGCAGTTCAGTTTGGGCACCAATTCACAAAAAGAACATTGGGGAACTGGAGAAAGTACAGAGAAGGGCAACTAAACTGATAAGAGGCATGGAGGAGCTCAGCTATGAGGAAAGATTAGAGGAACTGAATTTATTCTCTCTTCAATGACACCAAGTCAGTTCCCCCCAGTGTCAGAATGCCAGCCGCAGTCCCGCAGCCCCACTATAAGTCACTGATCGCCACCATTACTAGTAAAAAAAAAAAAATCTGAGTATATATACCGCCATTTGTAAACGCTATAACTTTCACATAAACCAATTAATTTACACGTATTGGAAATTTTTTTTTTAGCAAAGACACATAGCAGAATACATTTTGGTCTGAATTTATGACAAAATTAGATTTTTTAATTTTTTTACTGGACATGTTTAATAGCAAAAAGTCAAAAATATTTTTTTTTTCAAAAAATGGTCGGGCTTTTTTTTTTTTAAAGCACAAAAATAGAAAACGAACAGGTGATCAAATACCACCGAAAGAAAGCTCTATTTGTGAGAAAAAAAAGGACAGACATTTCATTTGGGTGCAGCATTGCATGCCACCGCACAATTGTCAGTTAAATTACGCAGTGCCGTAACGCAAAAAATGGCCTGGTCAGGAAGGGGGGTAAATCCTCTGGAGGTGAAGTGGTTAATACTCTCTATGTGGTGTTACAGAACCATATGATTCTCACCGTGTCAGCATCAGCAACCCCATATTTTGGCATCACATATTTTGTCAGATATTACATTGTACAATAAACTTTTATCTCATACATTTATCTTGGCTTAACCACTTCAAGTCCGGACACTTTCACCCCCTTCCTGCCCAGGCCAATTTTCAGCTTTCAGCACTATCACACTTTGAGTGACAATTACTCGGTCATGCAACACTGTACCCATATGAAGTTTTTATCCTTTTTTTTTTTAGAGAGATAGAGCTTTCTTTTGGTGGTATTTGATCACCACTGGGTTTTTTTTTATTTTTTACTATATAAATGAAAAAAATACTGAAACTTTTGAAAAGAAATGTTTTTTTTCTTAGTTTTTGTTATAAAAGTTTGCAAATAAAAAAAAGTAAAATTTAGGCCAAAAGGTATTCTGCTACATTTTTGGTGTAAAAATATCCCAAAAGAGTTTATATTATTTAGTCTGCGTGAAAGCTATAGTCTACAAACTATGGGATATATATTTGAAAATTGATCAGTTGAGATCCTAAAATGTCGGACGCTGGTATGGAATATGGCATTGTTCAGGACGCTTGTATGGGGTATGGTAGTGATCAGGACACTTGTATGTTGTATGGCAGTGATCAGGAGCAGGGGCGGACTGACCATTTGGAAACTCGGGCACTGCCCGAGGGCCCGGAGTCAGTAGGGGGCCCCATGAGATGCCCCTGGTACCTTTTTCATAGGCTTTTTTGAGTTTGGGCAAGGACACAGGGGCCCCATGATCCCCTATTGCCTAGGGGCCCCATGAGTTGTCAGTCCACCCCTGATCAGGACATTAGCATGAGGTATGGAGGTGATCAGGATACTGGTATGGCAGTTTCCAGGATACTGTTATTTTTAAAAATATATATATTTTTCAAATATATTCTTCAGATTTTTTTAACATATAAAAAAGTCATTTTAACATATATTTTTACATATATTTGTAAATGCAAAATGGAGATTTGTATTTTTAAAGACACAGTATATTTGAAATGTATTTTTAAAAATATGTTTCATATATTTTGTAATAAAAATGCATTTCAACATATATAAATATATATATATATATATATATATATATATATATATATATATAATATGGCCAAAATTGTAGTATTTCAAATATATGTCATTATATTTGGGAAGAATATATTTAAAATATATTTCAAATATATTTTTCTTCCATATGGGTTATCACATCTCACTGACTCCAAGCTCTATGTCCCCCCCTCCCCTTTTTTCTCTTTTTTTTCTTCTCTCGCTTTCTTTTCATTACCCATCTTTTCCTTTTTCTACTCTTTTCATATTTACCTTCTTAACCCCCCCCCCTTCCCCATTTGTTTTTTTTTTTTCTTCTACTCCCTCATTTCAGCCAGATGGAATAATTCCATTTTCTTTGCTTTGATGAGTAAATATTATAATTAACCCATGCGTGTTATGCCTTGTTACTCTTTGTTCTGCACTAATAAACACTGTGTTATGTGATATTGCTCAACCAATCCCTACTGCTTCTTATGGACATTTCCCAACTATACTTTTTATATTACCTAAATTATTTTATTAGAACACAATAAAATGTATTGCAAAAAAGAAAAATAATAAAAACAACATGTTAAAGTGTTACTAAACCTACAACAGTAAAATCAGTCTGTATATGCTTGTTATACTCACTGTGGAACCTAAGGGGTTAATCCTCTGCACTGTGTAAAAAGGCTGTTTGATCCTGTCTGCTCTGATCCTCCCCTTCTTCTACTGTCCAAAATACATCTGCTGATAAAACAGAGCCTTGAGGGCAAGCTGCACATGCTCAGTTTGGTGTGTATTGCTAGAGAGTTGTTTTTTTTTTTCTTGGAAGGATGCATGTGATCAGCACAAAGCCAATCAACACTGTCCAGACAGAGGTCAGGGGTTATGCAGCCTCATAGGACAATCAGGGGAAAAGTTTTAACCAGTGCTTAGCCAGAGACTAATATAAGTCACAAGACTGCTCTAACTGCTGATGACAATTTCTATGTTGTGTGTACTGTGGGAGACCAGATATAGTGAATGCAGGGTCCTGGGTTTAGTAACACTTTAAGCATACATGTGAATTTGACAATTACATATACTTTAGTTAATTGACATGAAGGCTCCCTTTCCTCTATGGTGGCAATAAATATAAAGCAGTATACCGCCAGTTCTACACCTATGTGCTATTTCATTCCAACAGTGTATTTGCATGTTGTACGTCTTGAAGAAGTATTTGCATCTACACAATGTACTGTATATGTGCTGAGCTGTCAAACGTGACTGGGTGCACCTGTTTGTTGTTCCTTCCACACAACAAAACTGTGATCATTTGTCAGTCAATGATTCTATGTCTGAATTGTATAATACAAATCAGATTATGGTGAACAAGTGGAGAACACCAATCATTAGGCACATTTTTAAAAAATACCTGTGGTCAAACTACACTCAGATGTCTTCAATTCTGTATGATACTCTTTATATTAAATCCCTATAACCTGCTGTCCTCCAAACATCAGACAGCAAGTGAGCTTGACAGTACTGTAAGCCATGCAGGCTTTTCTACAATATCAGGTAATAGATGCTGGAGTGCGAGTTGACCTGGCCGCTTACATAAGGCGGGTTACAAAGGACAAGCCACACTACTGGGATGATTCTCATCTAATGAATTTCAAATGCTAGCAGTATGTAAGACAGGTAGTGTAGCAGCAGAGCTGCAGGTTCTGAGAAGTGGTGTCTCTCTCTGGCTAAGCAGTGTAATTCATGAGAGCGTCTGATCAGAATTGTAATATTTTCAAGTGAAATTGTTCTCAAAGTAATATTTCAAATATGTATTTTACTGAAATAGTAAACCAAAGTAGTAAGTTTGACAATAATTAAACAGATAACTGTCTGGTCCATTTCCATCCTGTCAGCCCATTGTGGAGGTGCCTTGGGATGCCTTGGGATTACCAGTTTTACATATTACATAGTTACATAGTTAGTCTGGCTGAAAAAAGATCCCCCGAGAAAGTCTATCAAGTTAGTATCCAAATTCATTAAAAAAAAAAAAGCAATTATGATCCTACAGCTCCTGGATATTAAATTTCTTTTCCTCCAGACGTAAAGAGTGTCCCCTTGTCCTCTGTGATGACCTCAGGGTGAATAACTCTACACCGAGTTCACTATATGAACCACTGATGTATTTATACATGTTGATCATATCCCCCCTTAATCTCCTCTTCTCAAGAGAGAATAAATTCAGTTCCTCTAATCTTTCCTCATAGCTGATCTCCTCCATGCCTCTTATCGGTTTGGTTGCCCTTCTGTGTACTTTCTCCAGTTCCCCAATGTTCTTTTTTGTGAATTGGTGCCAAAAACTGAACTGCATATTCCAGATGAGGTCTTACTAATGATTTGTACAGGGGTAATATGATATCTCTCTCTCTGGAGTCTATACCTCTTTTAATACAAGAGAGGATTTTGCTTGCTTTAGAACCCGCAGCTTGGCATTGCA